TTATTTACTATTGATTTCTATGTGACTTAATGTTTCAACACATATATTTTGTGAATAAATTATGATGGATATGACGTATTGTGCTTATACTTCCTGTTCCTTTCTTCTACTTTTTTTTTCCCCCTTTTTGTCTTTTTTCGTGACTGGTAACGGGATCGCAACCCTCGGTGTCGCGCCCGTACCGCGACCAGCAACGGGGTCGCAACCCTCAGTGTCGCACCCGCACTGCACTCAACCAGTGAGCAGACCGGTCTCTATATGGGATCCAAACCCTTGACAGGAGCGCCGCAGCACTCCCAAGCGCCACACTCTGCCGAGTGCACCACCGGGCCGGCCCTTCTTCTATTTTTTTTAAAGAAACAGAATAGATTTGATAAATTATAACATCCCATCTAAGTGAAGCAAACACACATTCCCTTAAGCCACTGAACTAATTCTGAATTCCAGAAATAAAGCTGTGTCATTTACCAAAATAAGAAAGCATGGATAATGAATCAATGATCAACACAGATAACTGATGAGCTGAGGTCCCCACATACATCAAAGTGTGATGTTCACCTTCCCAGTGATAGAGAGATGGTCGGTATTCTCTACTACAGTATTCCATATAACAATGACCTTAAAAAGTGAAATTATTCTTGCTTCTGTAAGATATTAAAATCACAGAATAAATACCTTTAGGAGAGAACCCTAAAGTCGCTTTTTGTTCTCCTCATTTTACAAATAATGTCACAGTTCCAAGAAGGTAAAGACATATAACCACACACAAGCAGAGGCAAAGAGAGCCTACAACTTCTCACTGTGTTTATATATGGATTGGCTGCCCAGTAGAAACCTTCCCATCCTTTTCGCATTCTTATTCAAAACCTTTTCTGCTTATGTCTCTTTGAAAAACATTGCCTTTTTGAAAGTAGCAAATTATAATGCAAGAAAAATAACATTACCATACTGTTGCCAGTCCACAGAGGGGGGTAAGTGCCGCCACAGAATAAGGTTGTTTAGATGATTTAAGTAGGAAGGTAGGGAATGAAAACCCTTCTGATTATACCACACCTAAAAAAGAAAGAAAATTTGATGGCTCTCATGAAATTAGTTCTTAAGTCTATTTGTCTGCTATTCTCTGGCACAGGGAACACAAGTGTCAATTAACTTCCATGGCACCTGAATGCAGAACTCAAAGTACTGTTCCTGCAAGGCTGACAGTAAGCAGTCAATTCCAGTCTGCTAATTTTATATTTATCTCAAGCATATAATTTACAGCTAAAAATAGATTAATTTTCCCCAGGACAAATGTGAATGTTGCTCTATAATTATATTCTCACAGACGAAAAGAAACTGAAGCCCATCTTTTTTTTTTTTTTTTCCCAGTTGGGGGGTTAATGAAATTTGACCTGCAAATTAAAAGCATGGAAGATGATCAGAAAAAAACGATTACTTTCAAATTAATAACTGAACATGGAACATTATTTCTCAAAATAAATAGAACTGAATATTTGCTGAAAATAAAGTAACATGCCTGTCAGATAGAAGAAAGGCAAGGGAGAAAATAAGAGAAAGACAATGTTATTAAACGTGAGATAATCATAAAAAATACTAATCAAATCATCAGTATCTATATTTCAAAATATCAGTATTTTAATAAAAAATGAAAAATAGATGCTCAGTTTGGAAAGCTCGTGAGTGTCCTGAAGAAGTATAACTGGTGCATTTTGGTCTTAATTCAACTGACGGAACAGCTTATTTCTCTAGAAAACATTGCCTTTTGGGACAGACAATCCACTTTGTAGAATTTAGAGCATCCCCACAGAAAGTTAATGCTGGGAAGAACCTGTTCAAGTTCTCATAAAAGTTTATGCAAAGTTAGGACCAGATATCAAGTCCCTTAGCTTCCAATTTATTCTCCTTTCACCCCATCATACTATGAACAATTGATTTTTAGCCAGGGTGCCATGTAGCAGGTGTTGTATCCACAGGAGCAGGTAAGTAATAAATATGCTCATGTTAACAAAATGTACTGCACCCATAAAATGGAATACTATTCAGCCATAAAAAGAAATGAAGTTCTGCCACATGCTACACCAAGGATGCATCTTGGAAACGTTGTGCTAAGTGAAATAAGCCAGACACAAAAGGACAAGTACTATATGAGTCCACTTATGTGAAATACCTAAAATAGGTGTTGGGGCCCAGAAAGCAAAACCCCAAAGTGAAGGCTTCAGAAGCAGCCTCAAAAGCACAGTTGTCCTCCTGTCTCTCAGCCTCATTCTCCCCTGAGGCAAGTCATAGAAACCAGATCCTTCTTCCCCAAGTTGGGTCAGAGGGATGCTCTGATCCTACCCCTCACCTCTCTGTCTTGGAGCTGGCCATAAAGAAATTCTCTTACTTACCTTGTCTAGGTCATAAGACCCCCGTTCCAGAAAGGGTCCTGCCCCATACCCTGGAGGAATGAATACTACACAGAGAGACCGAGAAGAATCTGGACAGACAGGCCTTGCTGGGTTTCCCCACTGAGACTATTAGCATTAGAGCACGCTTTTCTTATCCAATCACATTTCTACATGGCTGTGCCTGCTTCATGGAACCGAGGCATAAATATGGACAATTTTCCATATATACTTTGGTCTTTATTCTGAAGGGCCCCATGCCACACAAAACTATGACATAAAATTTGTTATGCCTTTTCTTCATATTCATCTGAAGGTGATTTTTCAGAGAACATTCAGGGAGTTGAAGGCAATGTCTTTCCCTGGCCCCCACATAGGCAAATTCAAAAAGACATAAGTACATTAGAGGTTACCAGGGGCTGCGGAGAGGGAGAAATGGGAAATTATTTAATGGCTACACAGAGAAATGGTTACAGAAACTATTTCTTCATGGTTACAGGTTGCTCGGAGTGATGAAAAAAATTTGGAAATAGAGGTGATGGTCATACAACATTGTGAAATAATTAATGCCACTGATCTGTACACTTAAAAATGGTAAAATTGGCAAATTTTATGTTATATATGTTTAACTACAATAAAAAAATTAAGATATCTTTTTAGGTAACTATTTTGATACTTCTCCCTTATTTACACTAGCATTAGCCAGTCAATTAAGACAAAGGCAGGATTAAACACCATGAAAGAATTTAAGTACAAGATGAAAAAAACACATTCTAGCATAAAATTAAACACCCATCACCACTGTTTCTGCTGTGCTAACAACCACAGCTACATCCACAGTAAGCAAACGAGATGCTAGAACACGCACCAGCAAGAAAACAATAGGATGAAAAACCAGAAAAATGTCAAAAATGTCGTAATGTCTCAACAAGCTGGCAAATAGTTAGTCCAACTACAGACAATGGAGCCAGCGCCAGACACGATGGAGAGCAAAGGTTTTAGTTCCTTGACTCTGACTCTGCCTCAAAACACAAATACATGAAGACCTGCTGCTGCTCGGGCTCAGGCTGAAGGGATGGGAGAATTCAAGAAGCAGCATCTGAACAGTGGTGCCGGGGTGAGGGGGAGGAAGAAAATGGGGAGATGTAGTCAGAGGATACAAAGCAGCAGATACGTAGAAGGAACAAGGCTAGAGACCTCGTGTACAACCTGAAGACTATAAATACCATACAATACCATTGTATAGTATTTGGGGTTTTTCATAAATAAGTAGATTTTTGTCACACAGAAAAGTAACTATGTGAGATAACAGATATATTAATTTTCTTCATTATAGCAACCATTATACTATCTATACATATCCTATAACATTATCTTGTAATCCTCAAATATACACAATAACAAGTATTTCACATAAAAAAAACCCTGCTACACAAGACAGTGTTCCCTAATTCTTTCTCAGATAATGCACTTCATTTGCAATTCAGGAAGCAGACCCCCTATTTCTTAACACCACTCACCCCTTTTTTCAAATATTTTCTTAAGTTCAAGGAGAAGAAATGCAGCTGAGACTTGCTAACCACAGAGCCCAGGACGTTCGTGAGTGCACAAGGCTATGCCGAAACAGAGTGGATCGTGTCACACACAAAAATTAAAATCTAAAGCAACTTAGACACAATTCTCAAAGTTGGGTAAAGCGTGAGTTCCTTTGGTGAAGTCCACACTGAACTGAAAGAGCTCCCATCACATGTCAAGAGGCATGTCCACCTCCTCCACCAATGCAGAGATCCTCCTCCACTCAGCTCTGCACTGTCACCCTCGGGGACCCTCTCACACACACCCCTACACAGGCACCAGCCATAGGATTCTGTTAAAGTCAAGGGAGAGGTTAATATAGTAGAAAACCCACTGCTATGGAAGCTGGAAGCTCCCATTAACCCTGCCTGTGACCCTCCTCTCCTCCCCGTCTTGGATGCCCTTAACTCTTTAGCTGGAGGGAAAAAGTAGGAGAGACTACAGTAGTCTTACTGCCTCGGATCAGGGGTTTTCAAATTTTGTTTCACGTTGTTTCATTTGTTTGTTTTAATTTTTGTTTTAAAAGCAGGGTGATTTTTTTTTTTTTCCAGCATAAAAATGACACATACAACAGTACAGAAATCAAAGTGGAGCTGGGGAGACAGGAGCTGCCTGCTCAGCCCCCCTTGCTCACCCTCTCTGGGCACTGGGACTTCTGCTCTTGACTGCATCAGAGGCCCCAGTTCTTCACCATTCCTGCACCCATGCCCTTAGCCATGTGGCTTTTGTCCCCTCTCATTCTGAGCTTGACAGAATATAACACAAGCAGAAGTTTAAAAAGCACATGCATCTTCCGGCAAGCCCTCTGTGCTTCGGCTGTCACCACGGGAGCATGGCCGGGCTAACCTGCTGGAGGATAAGACACAGGGACAGAGCTGAGTCCTCACTATCATCCCAGTTGGAGCCAAGAGCTGGCCAGCCACTGTCAGCTCAGGCCAGCCTAAAGTAGCAGATCCTCGCAGACACAAGAGCTCGGTGAATGTCTATTGTTGAGGCCACTGAGATTTGTAATTGTTATTCTACAGCATTATTGTGTCAATAGATAACTGATACTGCCACTGGCACAGGAATGGGGTGTTATTGAAACAAAAACTGAAAATTTTGGCATTGGTTTTGAGATCAGCAAATGGGAGGCAAAGATACAGTTAGAAGAGTCTGGAAATAGTTGAGAAAACTGTTAGGAATGCTGGGGGTGGGGATGAGAAGAAAGCTGCTGTAGATAACAAAAAAGGCAATCCATATTAGCAGTGTCAGAACATTTGATAAAACTGTCATCTATGCTAACTTTGAAGGTAGAAGTTGTGACCAATAAACATTTTAGTGGGTTTGGAGAACTCTAGGCAAAATGCTAAAAAAACATGGACTAAGAATAAAGATGAAGGGTGTGGCTGGGCAAAGTTTGCTAAGGTCACTGAGGGAGTAACAGTGCCAAGGGACCCTCTCAGGGACAAAAGGGCTTCCAGGAACCTGAGGGGTTGCCACCAGTACCCTGACATTCCCAAAATACCAGTAATTAATTTCGGAGAAGGCAACAGGTCTCAACAAGCGTTGTGGGTGAGGCTTGTGGACCTCAGGTAGGTAAACAGAAAGCCTAGAGTGCTGCATCGGAGCTCCACGGAGAAGGCACCCAGGATGGACTAAATGTAAACAGGCTCTGAGAGCCCAGCTTTCCACAGCAGGAAGCAGGTGGAGAAGTTGCTCAAAAGGCCTATTTCCAAATTACCTCTTCACAGTCTCCTCTGGAAGAGGAAACACTTGGCAGAGAGTCCACTGTAGATGATGGACTGGAGCATTCACAGGAGGCAGACCCAGGGCTGAGCTGAGGAGCATCCCACATCCAGGACCACCCGGCACCACTTGCTGACCACACCCCACACAGCTCAGCCCACAGACTCATGAGCTAAAGGCATGTTTATTGTTGATGCTACTGAGGGTTTACAGGTGTTTGCTATATGCCATTATTTTGTCGATCAATGATTCATTCACACAGTTCCAAGGAACAGAGTTTAAAATGTTCTTGAACTCTTTTTCCCTGGGAGAGGTTTTATGAATTCTTTAAGTAAGCAATGTGTACTTTATGATGACCTTAAAATT